CCGAAGTGAAGGCATTGGAAGCACAGCTCAAGACATCCAACGATACAATTAAGACAATAACTGAAGAGACGTCGGCTCTGAAGGCAAGCAATGAGTCCGAAGTGAAGGCATTGAAAGCACAGCTCAAGACATCCAACAACTCAATGGAGACTCAGATCAAGGATGTGAGACAAAAATTATGGTTTGATATAAATTACATATAATTGATAAACAAATGTTTGATTTGCAAAAATTTTTTGATAATAAATGTATATTTTTTAGTAATCAAGAAGTGATCAAAAATTGGTTAAAATTGATTACAACAGCGCTATTTGTTTTGTGCTTATTATCGGCTCTTTATATTGTGTTCACAACAAACAGTGGTTTCAGCAAAGAGTTCAACGCAAGCAATGAGTCCGAAGAGAATCCATTGAAAGCACAGCTCAAGTCAGCCATGGATTCAATTGAGACAACGACTGAAGAGATCAATGATTTAAGAGAAAGGTTTTTGAAGAAAATCTAAACAAATATTAGATTATATTTAAAATGAAAACATTTAACAATTAATTCTTTACATAAAACTAATATTTATATTTTTAGTGATCAAACAGTGGCNGATCAATGATTTAAGAGAAAGGTTTTTGAAGAAAATCTAAACAAATATTAGATTATATTTAAAATGAAAACATTTAACAATTAATTCTTTACATAAAACTAATATTTATATTTTTAGTGATCAAACAGTGGCCACAGATGTTAATGGATTAGATATAATGGTTATAACCGTAATAACGCTATTCATAACGTGTTTATTATACGCCGATTATTATGTGTGGAAAACAATCAGTGGTTTGAGGGATGGGTTGCGGGCATTGAAGGCATCAAAACTTATCATTGAATCCGATGTCAAACAATTGGCTCAACAAATGAATGCACAGAATATAAGGTTTGTCTTTAATTGTAATTATTTGTAAAAAATTATTAAATAAATTAAAATTTTTATCTAAACAGATGTTCAGCGAGTGATTCCTCTTCAAGTACTTCATCGATCGGATCCCACAATCATTTGACCACTAATTCAGACAAAATCAGTGATAATATCGATATTCGGGAAATGTTTAAGAAAATTGAGAATCAAATTAAAACACAATACCAAATGACATACACTTTATTGAAAGCTTTGGTTGTAGAGAATGAGTTAACGCTGACAACACTTGAAGACATCAGACAATTGGCCGAAGACTCAGATGACAGCGAATCCATGACTAGTGTTGACCAAAACTAAGACAATTATTTTGACATTTTTGTATTTTTTATAACTTCTTTAAAACCATTTTTAAATCATTTTATTTGTTATTTTCTTATAACATGTCTTAACATAACTAGAGATAATTATTACCGCATTATTATTGTATTAATTATAAGTGTGATTAGAAATTTGATATAGATTTTGTATTGTATTACTAATGGCCTTAAATGGTTATTAAATAATTTGATTCTCTATTTAATTGGCTTTTATTATAACATAACTTATGTTACATAAGCCGAGAACTAATTAGTATTATCTATAAATACCATGAGAATATTCACCAAATTAGACATTTAGTGATTTTTAAACTTTTAATTGAATTATTAATATTTCTAAATAAAATAATTAATCGATGATTAATAATCATATATTTGTTTTCCTAATAAAATAATATATTTGTATTCTCACAGTTAGTATACTTATTATTAGATTTGGTTAAATACTGTATAATTAAAATTAAATCAATGATTGCTACAAAATATTGATTAACTACTTATAAATAAAATTATCTTAAGTTATGCCATCACTGCCACAAACAGTGACCACTTCCAGCGCCGACAGTCAATTGGTGGACACTATTAGCGATAAATATGTCTTTTTGTCTGTATTTTAAGACATTTTAAGTAATTTTTAACCACTTTTCTATTCACTTTTGTGATTCGGACTTATCTATGTATGTATATATTGTAATAGATTTGTATTGTATTTTATGGTAACAATTAAATTAAATTTTGTTTTAAACAAATAAATATTTTATTAAATAAATTTATTACAAATCAATGCTTTTTCTTCCTTTTGTGAACAATTATATAATATTTTTTTCATTTTTTATCACAATTTTCTTCATTACATTTAAATCTTTTATTCAAATGAACACAACTTTTGTGTTGAAATAAATGTGATTTTATTAAAATTAATATTTTAATTTGTATTAAATTGTGATCAATAATAATATTTTTCAATAATTTATATGATATTTAAAGCGTTAATCTTTTATAAATAGGATGTTTTGTACTAAAGTATACACACATACAGTATACACTCAGAGTATTATATCGCAATATAGAGTTAAAGGCAGGAGGATTAATTAGAGGCAGGAGGTGTTAATTATCACAACATATAGCAGTGCATTTCTTCGCACATTGATGGCAAATGCAACCCTTTTTATGAACTAGGTGCGAAAAAAATTTGCATTGTTTTATGCTGCAAATTAGCACTATTAATCCTCCTGCCTTTAACTCTATATTGCGATATAAAATTCGGGCTGTATTGCAATAAATTGTTATCCAAATAACATTTGCCTCAAATTTCAATGAGATTTAAAGCTTTATTTGTTTGAAAATAGGATTATTTATCACATGCTATGCAAACCATATGCAAAACACCTGACATTTTAAAGTCAGGTCTTGTATTACTATTGGAGTTTAATAATTGGACTCTCAAATACTTTTACAGTGAATTGCATTGCATTTGACGCCAATTTAAATAGTGTTTATTTACATACCATTAGTAAAACACTGGATATTTATCACATGTTGTATATATACAGCCAATCAAACAATATATTGTATATACAGTATTATGTACAGCACATGTGCGCAAACCTGATCCCTAACTGACCATCAGTTTAGTTACAAAACTTATTAGTGATTGTGAGATCAGATCGCATACACATTGAGAGACAGTCATCCATACCTCTGACATCAGTTAATAATTAACAGTTATTATTAATAAATATAATTATTTTAACCATAATTAAACAATTACTAGTATATAATGCCTATCTATAAACTAAACCACGATGGTTACAATTATATGCTGGGCATCCCTATACCAGATAGTATTGAAACAATCAAAGATCTCAAGAGTTTACTACAAACCAAAGGTGTGTACAATGAAAACATTCACACTATTGGCCTATTAGTCGGTACGAGTGATGCGATTTACATGTTATTTGATGATGATCGCAAATTGGACAGTTTGTGTGGCAATGCCTATGAAATACACATCTCTGCGAAACTCAATGCTCAATCACCATGGTAAGTTTTTTGCATCGCTTTTATTATATTGTATTTTAATATAGCGTTTATTTTATTAATTAAATGTTTAAAACTATAGTTTGAGTGTTCTCAGCCTGGCTTTCACAGCACTTAACACACTTCTCTACAGCCGAGACTTCCGTTCGTTACTCAGGCTTCACTTCCGTAACTTTCGTGCCCATTTCTATCGGTACCTAAGTTACGTTTATTACCCAACTCAGATCAAGGATTTGAGACAAAAGCAGTGGATTTCTGATAAAAGGTTTGATACAATCGATTAACAAATATTTGATTTAATTTTTTTACATAACACTAAAATTTTTAGGATTAAAACTGTGTTTAGTTTTGAATTGATTATTACATCACTCGTTGTTTTGTCCGTATTATTGGCTGTTTATATTGTGGTCACAAAAAACAGTGGTTTCAACGGAAAGTTCAACGCACGGAATGAGTGGGAAGTGAATGCATTGAAAGCACAGCTCAAGACAGCCATGGATTCAATGCAGACAATGAATGAAGAGATTGATGATTTGAGAGCAAAGTTTTTAATGTTAGTTAAGAAAGTCTTTGATAAAAGGTTTGATATAAACAATAAACAAATATTAGATTATATTTAATATCAAAACTTTTTAATTTCAGTCACCAAACGATTGCCACCGCTTTTAGTGAATTAGATATACCACTACCGCTAGTAATGGGTTTAACGCTATTATGTGTTATGTGTTTATACGCCGATTATTATGTGTGGACAACAATCAGG